AAGGGCTACTTTTTAAGAACCGTGGCATCTCACCCAGCCTCCCCCTAACATGGGAGTGTCTCCCCTTCGTCACCCACGCACAGACCCTGGCTTCTGGAAGCACGGGCACAGGCTGGGGGCTTGCCAGCATGACGCGTTGACTTTGGAAAGCATTCTGGAAAGAGAGGCGGTGTCTTAGAAAGCTGCTTGCTGGGGCACATCAAACGGCCTTCTTTATAAAGCATCCTTTCCCTCAGAATTTTATAGGGAGCTTATCTGGACAAATGCTTCGGATGTCACCCTTCGAGTGAGTGTTTAACACCCTGACGTAAAGAGCTCTTGCTACGCGTTCATGCGTGCTGATGGCCCCGTGATTGCTTTTAAAATACACAGTGACGTGCTGACACGTTCTCCCGATCCCCACGCTCCAGCTCTGCCCAAGAGACGACGTGTCCAGCCGAAGGCCGAACACAGCAAGACGCGCTGAAGGGAGACGAGGCAAACCTCTGAAGCGAGGCCCCTTCCAACAACTGGCTTGCAGCACACAACAGAAGGGGCTTTGTTTACCACCACATATGCTCAAATAACGAGTCTTTGGTTATTTCCGCCCCCCACCCCCCGCCTCCGCGACGGGGGCACAACCCAGCACGGAACACAAACTCGCTGATTCCGGGCACAGACACACAAACGAACGTGGCTCGCGGCCCGCTCTGCAAATTCCACAGGCTCGGGACCGTGGGCCAGGACGGCGGGTGCCCACACCGAAAACAGCGGCGCCTTCTCGCCGGTCCCGGAAGAAAGCAACAAACAGGCCCACAAGCAGAAGCCCGAAAGGAACCCAAGGCCTCGGAGGGGGAAGAAACAACATCTTCTATTTAGTGTCTGGTGTATCAGACTGTTTGTTTCTCACTACCACTGGGGAGGGAAAAGGTGAGTGACGTCTATGAACTATGGTTGACTTTTCTAATTTTTTGTTAATGTTTCTCTATCGTTGAGACACAGAGAGACACCGGTCGTGAGCAGGGGAGGGGCAGAGGGAGAGGGAGATACAGAATCGGAGGCGGGCTCCAGGCTCTGAGCGGTCAGCACAGGGCCCGACGCGGGGCTCGAACTCACGGACCGCGAGATCATGACCTGAGCCGAAGTCAGACGCTTAACCGACTGAGCCACCCAGGCGCCCCTATGGTTTGCTTTTCTGTCCCATTTTATCTTCTACAAAAAGTATAGCCACAAACCCTTTGGAGATGATGTGCAAGGTAAGGACGTCCCAAATCCACGCACGTGCCTAAAACGTGGTCCCCTATGGCGCCCCTCGTGCTGGGATCGTGGAAACTGGGCACCTAGACCTCCATCTCTGGACCCCAAAGCATTCCAACTGCAGCGACCTAGAAACTATTGAATGTGGCTCGAAACAGCCGAATAAATGGAATTAGAAAGAGGTGGGTAGGTCCCTACGAGAAAGAACACTCTAGCAGTCAGTACCATTCATCCAATGGACGAGGTAGGAAGAGCCCATCGGTGGAAGAGCATGAACGGACACCGGGCAGCCCAGCATAGGACTCTTGCGGCGAACAAGAATTCACATGCACGACCACTGCACGACCCTGACGGTTTCCTCCAAGTTCTAGAATTCTGGGACTAACCGATATTCGCCACGAGGACCTCAGACACTGCACCATCGTGAGTCCCACTCAACCTCAAAAAAAGAAGTCCTCGGGTCTGTATCCTGATGGTAAGAGCAGCTGCAGGAACCCGTGATAAAATTACAGAAAACACACACACACACACACACACACACACACACACACACACAAATGTGAAGTATGTAAAACAGTGAATAGTATTGTGCCGATGTCCATTTACAGCTTTGACCCTGCATAGAGTGGCGATCCTAACCCACTCGCGACATCTGGCAATGTGTAGAGACATTTCTGGCTGTCACAACTAAGAGGAGGGTGCCGCTGGTTGAGGCCAGGGAGGCTGCTGCAGCCTACAACGCCCAGGACAGTCCCCCCATCCTACCCCCGCAACATATACTGCCAAAGCAGGGAATTTTTACAATTGCCTGTGAGCCTATAATTATGTTAAAATGAAACCTTAAAAAAGATCCCACAACGTTCAGTACATCAGGGCTCTACTTCCCTGGGAATCCGTCAGCCACTCCTGGAAAAAAACGCGACGGGCTCAATTAACCAAAGGATTCAGCCGTCCAAGCCACCTATAGGAGAATGGCAACGTGTGGCTTCCGTCGCACATTTCGGTGGTGGCGTGACAGAACAGCCACGGCTCAGGGCCGAATTCACACCAAGATCAAGTCCCCAGTATCCTCGGTTCCTTAAGCAAACCCTCCTCTGGGATTAAGACGAGACTCCCTCTGGAGCCTACCACACAGAACCCCTGCCTTCCACTTCCCTCGAGCCCGACCTTTACGCAAGACAGGGCGGTCTGAAAAAGAGGTACCATCTGTAAAGACAAAGCACATGATCAACGTTGACATTAGTCACATACACGTTTACCACCTTACTGCCCTCTAAATCTAGCCCCTCGCTCCCCCACCAGGCCTCCGGAGCCTGGTGTGTGCATCATGCACCATCCACCCCGTGAAGCCAGGTCGGGAAGTTCACATTACACACCCCAGGCTGCGATACAATGTTCCTTCCTCCGCAAATGCCTCCCGACGACATAATGACCACCCGCTTGTGAGAAAGTCCAATGAAGGAACGAATGCTTCTGTTGCATCACGAGTGGCACAGACACCGAACGGCCACTTACAGTGGGGGAAAACCACTTTCCCAACACAGTGTAACTGCACACAACCACCAGGGACTCCCCGGGTGGAGTCATTCTTAAACCCGTCTCCTCCACTTAGAGCCCTGGGGTGGAGGGTTCCACCGGCCAAACACTCAAAAAAGCAGGGGAGAGTAAAAAAAAAAGAGGACCGGAGTTTTAAGTTGGTGTTAAGGTCCCACTTTGCTTGTCCTTGCTGGGAGGGAGGGGGAGAGGGCTCTTAAAAGCTCACCCAGCTCATTACAAAGAATGGCAGGCTGGGGAAGGCAGCTCTCCCAGGGAGCCTCGAAGTGGGGTGTCTGGAATTGCCAAGGACCTTTTTCCAGTTTGGGGATCAGCGATCCAGCCCTCAGCACAGCTGTGATGACTTTTTCAAAGCGCCCCCCCCCCAACTTCCATGCTGTCTACAGGGGCAGGGGATGTGACCCACGCTCTCTACCCACTGGACCTTATTTAACACTTGGTGTCAAACAGGTCCTTGGTAACCACCTGAGGAATGAACGAACAACTCACACACAGACTAGCACAGCCATCAGCTGACACACTGGAAGGTTTTGTTGAACAGCTTTTAAAACAACTGACCGAGCCAAGAGAGGTGGCAGGTTCAGGCTTCCTTTGTGGATGAGGACACCAAGAGTCAGGAAGCTGAGTGCCGAGCCCCAGACCCGGGTATGAAGTGTGGTCCTCAGAGTCCGTCTGGGGCTTCTCTTAGATTCCCCTGCCCTCCCCGCAGTGAGTCCCAGAACCCAACATACGTGTCTCCCGCCCACCATGCCCAGCCCTGCGCTAATCCCACAGCAGGTACTAAAAACCAAAAGCACCTGCAAATCTGATCCAAACTACCAAAGCAAAAAGGCCTTGGGTCCAAAAGCGCAGGAGAAGGGCTTTCAAATCTCCCAAGCCAACCAGTGATGCTAATGTCCTAAAAGGGTCAGTGCCTCGGGTTCCTCACCTGTAACATAAAAAGAATACCCACCCCTCACAGCCACTGAAAGAATTAGATGACACAGTTATACACAAAGCTCCTCACGGAGGCACAGCAGATGGTCTACAAATGTTGAGTGTCTCCTCCTACCGCTGTTATCAAACCACGGTGGTTTTATGCATCTTAACTCTCCTAATTCCCCAGCAGATATTGGAATTTCTGGATGGTTCTGTTCAGGGTTACACAACTCACAGCACCGCCTGCCCATTCGCAGAGTTTGTTCACACGCTGAAGCATGGCAGGGCCCAACCCTCAACCCTGTATACATGTGCAGAGGGGCTGCCGAGATGGGCCCACACATTTAAGAGTTCGGTGTCCCCACCCCCTCCCGTTGCCTGTCACCTCCTGCTGACTTTCTGAAGCCTTTAGCCAAGCAAAAGCAATTCCTTCCATGCCAGAAGCTGTGTGAGGGTGCCACCAGCGTGCATCTCCTTTCAAGGAAGGCCACGAGGAGGCCAGGGAATTTGGCTACAAGCCTGCTCACTCCCCAATCCTGAAATACTAGGACCACGGCCCTCTGCGGTTGAAGCAAAGGACATTTGGAACAATTAAGAGAAAGTCCCCCCCCCCTCACAAGGAGTGAAACCGCATGGAAGTCATTTGCCAAGACAGGGCTGGCAGAGGCGGATGGATGGAAGGCTGGCCCGCAGGCTGCCAGGCGCCCCTAGGCTTTCCCGCCATCTGCAGCCCAACCTCTCCTCGGGCACAGGAGCCTCCCCAGCAGAGGCTCTGCCGTCCTGCCCCAACTGGGCAGGGGATTCCCGGGACCCAGGGAGGGCGCTGAGAGGGGACAGTGGCTGGGTAAAGGCCCACTGCTGAGCTTTCTCCCAGAAGGCCGTTGTGCCAAAGCAAGCCAGCCCTTCACGTCGCCAAATCGTAAATTCACTCCCCAGAACACGCCCTGGAGGAAGACTGAAAAAAGTAGACAGAGAAGGAAGGGTGCCCGGCAGAAAGAGCCTTTGCTCGGTCAGTTTCCAACCGGGGCCACCAGCTCCCCAGGCAGCCTCCCCACTGGGCGCACCTGGACCTGCGAGGGGAGCGCCAGCCGGTTGAGGCGCCCGGGAGCTCGGGGCGGCCGGCGGGAGGCGCAGGGCAGTCCCCCAGCGAGGCGGGGGCAGCGACGGGTGGGTCGCGCCCCAGACACACGGGCCTGGAAGCCGGCTGTCCCCTCGCACTAGAGGGCCACCGCTGGGAGAGGCGCGCGGCCACGGGCGCCCCCTCGGGCCGCCCAGCGCACAAAGTCACTTACCTGGCGGAGGCGCCTCGGGAGCCAGCTTCTCCCTCTTGGGAGCTTTCTTGGGCTTGGTCGCCGTCTTGGGCGGCCTGGACTCGGGCGGGCGCGGCTCCCGCTCCCCGTTCCCGGTCCCCGCGGGCAGCGGCGGCGAGAAGGGCTCGGGCTCGGGCTCCGGGCGCGCGTAGTAGGGCTCCCGGCTCCAGGTCTCCTGCACGTAGTAGTCCGGGGCCTGGAGGGCTGCGCCCTGGGCGCCCACCCGGGCCAGGACCACCGCCAGGAGCGCGAGGGCCAGCGCCAGCGCGGCGGCCCCCCGGCGGGCCATGC